TGCTGACATATCTTGCATCTCTATTCGGAGTGCACTGATTTATCAGCCAGGTGAGTTATCAGTGTTGATTTCCTTAATTTTGGGAGATCAGTGATCCGCTTTTTACATGTGAAGCAGATCTTATCCACCAATCTTATCTAGCTTGGCACTAAGACCACTGTCCTCTTTTGCCCTCCGGTGAGAAAGGTTTGATTGACTGACCGGCCCACCAAATTAAGTCTACACGGGTAAAATTAACAATAGTTACCCCACTGTTGCCAACTCTACAACTTTCTTGCTATATTGAAACCAAAAAAAGTGGTATCGGCCAAATTAAGAATCGGCAAGTTAAGTTTTTTAAAATATCTATAATTGGCAATTGGCCAGAAAACTGCAATTGGTGCACCACTAATCTCTATACAATAGTAGTATACTTGCAAAGTGGAATATACCTGATTTTATTTCTATTTTTTTACTAATACATGTTTAATATGCTGTTTTTTTTGGTTGTGATTGTTTGAAATCTAGTGGAACAGGGTTATGCAATACATCTGAGACACAGCGTCTTTCTCCTCCACTCACACTCCTGTGAATTATGATGCAGCAGCCTCTTGACTATCTGATTTCCCCGTCTGTGCTTGGAATTTACATACAGACGTAATTAAATATGTATACCTACATGACTTTGCTCGTGTTTTGAGCCTCGTGTTGTCTGATCTGTTGGGTCAGCAGCAGATGAAGATCATCTCTTCGGTCTGATTGGTGGCAGAATGCTGACTGCTTTCCTCTCTCTTATGCTCTTCTTCCCTTGGCATCTCCTAGACAGCCAGAGCAGCATTATATCCTGCTGGGATCGGATTAACACTTTAATTCAGTCCTTCTGTTATGGGTTGTCATGGCAACCTTCCTCTTTTGTGTCGCACACCGAGTAAATGTGCACCGGACACACGGACATGGAGGATGATTATGACTTCATGAATCTTTTGGCTGGAAGGGAGTTCGTTTGACTCAGCCGGAGGTTTTCTGTTCTAATGTTTTTGATTTTTTTTTTTGCTCGTTTCTGTTTTTTGCCAGCTTGTCATCTGAGCTCTATGCCCACTGTGGTGGTCCTGCTGGCTGCCGATGTGTTTTTACTTGCCATTTGCCATGCATTTTTGTTGCATTGAATCGACAGATTTCTGTCCCCTTGGCCTCCAAGATCAAACCCATTGTTTGAGTTGTAGCAGAAATGGAGCTACAGCTGAAGTCAGTGAGTCTGACTGCTCTCCAGGTAGGTCATGATGAAACATAGAACTGTTCGGTTGAGTTTTAGAGCAGGGTTTTTGTTTAAGAATGTGTATAAAAGAATTCCTGCCAAAGTATTGGCTGTACTGGATAAGTTGTGTGCTCAGCAGGAATCAGCTCTGCTCTGTTTCTGTAACGTCTGCAGAAATAATTTCTGGTGTTTTTTAACAACTGTCGTATTCCAGCATATGCTTTATGCTGGAATTACTATCTTGGTGATGTCTGAAGGGTTTTCCTTGATTTATTGGTATTAAATTAATGAGAAACATAAATTGACCTTAAATATGTTAATCACAGACAAAACTTCCAGTTGTATGTGGACAACTTTTGTCGTGTTCTGTGATTCAAGACAGTTGAGGATACCGATGACAACCTAGCTAGTTTTATTCCTGCAACTATCATGGATAAAATACAAATTTATCATAAAAAGGAAGAACAAAGTTTGTACGTTTCTGTGTTTAGGTCTGATATTTCATTCATAATGATCTTATAACATCTTAAATTTGAAATGGTGAAACCTGCAAGAACTGTATTCTTTCAATGTTGTCTTACCCAACCTTTTCACCGATCTTTGTGTTTTTAAATGTAACTTTAAAAACACAAGGGAGGAAGTTTGAAACTTTCTATTGCCTGACAGAGAGATTAACATAAATGACAGCTGAAGCGGCATTTCACTTTGTTTTTCAGTAATTAACATCCTGTTTAACTGGATATACTAAAATCTAAGCTCCTCCCTCCTGGCCCACATCCAGTTAGGAATGATTTTTAAGTAAAAAAAAAAAAAGCAGTTACTTCTTCCTCTTTGTTTACAGGAGGACAAGGAATGTAAACTGGCCTGCGGTGGCTGGTGATGAGTCAAAGTGTGACAAATTTTGTTATAATTGCTTCCTTCTCTGTCCTTCCCTCAGACTTGATGTATTCCACTGTGAAGGACAGAGTGACGTAGTGCTGTCTTTTCAAGGTGTTACAGTCCTCTACTCAGCAAATCCCTTCTTAAAGACCAGGCCTGTTCACTCTGCAGTGACCACTGGGAGTAGAGCTGCAGCTTTTGTGTACTTGCTATAGATTGCTGGCTGCAGGGCAGGAACAGTTTTTTCTTCCTCCTTTATCACCACCACAGTCATCTGCACTGCAGCTTTCTTGTTTACTTAAAAAAAACAAAAAACATAAATTTTTGCTGCACAAGGTATTGTGTTGGCCATAGATTAAAAAACATCAATATTTCTCATCCTTTTCATGCTGGTCAGCAATAATTCTACAGATTCATGTCTTGTTACTAAGAATTTCTTTTGAAATGATTTGTTAAATATATATTTAGACATGACTAACTTTTTCAATCTTGAAAACTAATAATACCGGTCCACCAGTGATTTCTAGAGGTCTGGGGACAGGTTTAGGTGTGCTCTAGTGTTAACGTCTGAACACAGGTGACTCAAACAAGTCAAATAAGGTCAGAGGTGAAGGAAGGCACACCCTTTATAAATTCTGAGTGTTTACACATCAAGAAATCATAAAATTATCAGATTTCCAGGTAATAAAATTCATACAGGTATGAATTTTTTTGTTACCTACAGGTAACATAAAAAAAACACACAACAGATTTCTCATTCGTATTATGTACTTTACACGATGCAACCAAAATGGAAAAGCGGTGTGAAAATGGACTCTTTCTGTCATCTACAAGATTTAGGTGGTCAAGTGGACTTGTGAGCAAATAGGCATAGAAGTGGGTGATACAAACTTTAAATCTGATCACTCTTTAAGTATTTATAGTAATAATGATAAAAGTGATTATGAAGTATTTGGCCTAAACTTATTCAGTTACTCCCCATTTTGTGCAACCACCTCAAGGGTGGTAGAAACTTGTCCTAGCCTGGTATTGCACACAAACGATTTGACTAGCAGCATACTGCATTTATTGATTAGCATGTAGAGTCTGTGACAAGACTGTAGCACTTGGTGAGATGACAAGGCTCAAATTGAGAGTACTTGCAGATGAGAAGCAGGAAACGGAAGAAATGTGGTCAGATTCCCGGGTGTGAAGGCACTCTGGGAGGGACAAAAAAACGGGATTACAAACCCAATTAGAGAGTTAAATGGTGTGAAACAAAGACACCCCCGCAGGCCTATGTGTGCACTGAATGGGATTACACTTCCAAAAGCACGCTTAAAGGCCAAGGAAACATGTAATTGGTTAAATATGGCAAATTTGCCATGAAAGCCAATTAAAATACTTTATGGGTTCATGGCTGTTGATCTGCTCAATAGCTCAAACAGCTTGTCATCTCCGAGGTCTCCATCACAAGCAGTTTTTAGGTCATGAATCAACTCTAAAATCATACATTGTAGCTAGCAACATAAAAATAAAATCAAAATAGGAGTCTTGGCGTTAACGAAAACATCTCCGACCACATCATGAGTAACTGTCACGACCTCCTCGCAGGTCGTTACCTCTCCTCCCTCGCCTCCGTCCAGCCGAGGCGTTGGTGTCAGCGCTGGGATCCAGTATCACACAGACAAACACAATGGTGGCTCTGTAGTCCACTGGCTGTATTGTCCTTTCCTGAATTTGGAGGCACAATGAGGCCCTTATCCACACTGCTGAGAGAGACTCGCTGTCAGGTGCTTTTCTTCCCAGCTTGTTTGGGAGCTGAAGCCTTGAAGAGAATGTTTTTGAAAATCAGAAAAGGATCAAAAATGGTTGTGTGGTTGCAAATAAAGCGTTAGCTAGGAGTAAATGGAGAAATGATCATTGTCCTAAGACTTTCCTCTATTGGTAAAACTGTCACGGTCTATGATCTGCTTTGATGAGATGAATAAGCATCAACCTGACAAGCAATCAAATTATGGTGAAAAGTTGGTGGAGACAATCTTCAGATCTGGAGTGTTTAACAAAAGAGATAAGCGTGATGTGAATCGTAGAGTAGATTGTGATGTTCTGCTCCCTCGTGTCTAAATCTTTTAGTCATACTTGCAGATGTGGTAGAAGTGATTTACTGATTTACTGTATTTGCTGTTTCAGGGATGCTAAAGCATTAGGAATAGATTCTCTTAAAGTTGGTATTTAAAGTTGCTCAAATTTAGTCCAGATTTTATGAATGAATTCCATTTTTATCTGCATTTCGCACAGGCACAAATGAGTAGTAATTACTTGAGTAACATTTTAGAAAACAAATTACTGTTACTGCACTGTACTTTTTACATTTAGTTGAGTAATATTATGAATGTTTTTACTTTTGCCACTTGAGTAAAATGTCTGTATTCTCCATCCAGTACCAGGAACTTCAATGAAAAAAGAACCAACATATTTTAACCAAAACCACATGAGAGACGGACACATACAGTTTATGTCAAAGTGTGACACCAGCTTTGTTGTTCCAATGTTATGTAACATACAGTAAACACTATATATTGTCACTGAAAGCCAATACCCTGTTCTTGTATAGATACATACAGGCATTCATTTTTGATATTTCAATTGAATTTGTTATTGCAAGATTTGTCGCCTTCATGTGATTGTTGGATTAAACTGATTCAATTTAAATTCAGTGATGTCTTTAATAAATCCATGACGCTATAATTATATTTTGATGCGGTTTGCTCTAGAGAAGTCAGTAGTTGCACCCCAAGACTTGAAGAGTCTCTATAAAAGTACAGACGGTTTTCATATCCCCATCCTAAACAGTCAGCACTCATAAAACAATCCCATTTTTGACCGTTTGTGTCTTTGTCCACAGGATCCGTCCTCAGCTGCCCAGGGAGAAGATCGAGGGATGCCACATCTGTACGTACGTGATGCCTGGAGAGCCTCAGGTCATCCTGGGGAAGGACAAAGCCTTCACGTATGACTTTATGTTCGACATGGATTCCCAGCAGGACTCCATTTACTCCACCTGCACTGAGAAGCTGATCGAGGGCTGCTTCGAGGGCTACAACGCCACTGTGTTTGCATACGGACAGGCAAGCCTTTGTGTTCCTGCCTGCTACAGCTGCAGCACCGACGGCGCTTTTAGCCTCGCTGGTGGAACATATTTCTGTCTGAGCTTGTCGCTTTGCGAGGAAAATGAATAGAAGAGGTTGCTGCGGAATCTATGAAAGAGAATATTTAACATTTTAAGCAGACAAACTAGAAATTTACATTTTAGTTGCTGACTGGACAGCGATAGTTTTACGAGGAATGTCATTTTGGAACATAAAATTCAGATTATGAGGTTTTTATACACAATTGGTGACACTGATTATGTCATTAGTTTTAAGGTGTCGCTATGGAAACCACTAGGTTGAAATTTGAGGGTGTTCAAGCCTATTTTGGAGTTAAGTTGACTTGTTTGTGCTGCACATTCAAGTACATAATAAGTTTTTCTTCCAGTCACTGAAAATATTTTTTACGAAACTCCACTTTGGGTTTCTCTGTATGGTTATTCTGATACTAGAAATTTCCCATTAACAACAGCTTGTAGCTAATATCTGCTCATCCAATCCACCTTTAGTCTAAATCATAATGGTGTGAAGTCCATCATTTCTCTCTTCTAATACTCAGGTTGCCATAGATACAGAGCTTAAGTTGTGTTGCTGCTGGCCTACTTCTGCCTGGAGCTCATGTTCACAGAGAGAGGATGGTCTGGCCCAGATCGGCCTGCTTGCCCCCCGTGTGTCCCTCATTACAGGGACTAATGTAGATTTAGATTGACCCACTCGGCTGCATCACAAGATCGCAGTCCTGCTGGGCTGCAGATATAAACAGACATTAACGACATGGCAGAGCAGAGTAAATCTGTCTCATCCAAAGATCACCGGGCTGTTTAAGCCTCCGTTTGGCAGATCGAATGCAGCCGAAAACACAACGCAAACTCTTCATGGACTGAGAAAAAATGGTTTCCCCGGTTGCTTGAATGTACATTTTCTGTTCATTTTAAAAGGAACAAACAGTGGAGAAAATAATAAAAATAGATTTTCTGATAAAACTGTCAATTTTGTTTATTTTTTAAATATTAATTGAAATTTATTGAGACAATAAATCAAATTATTCTGATTAGAAAATGCTCATCATCAATGAAAAATGCTCACCATTTTTTCACAGTGTGATAAACTTATGTGAAAATATAAAAAATACATTTGATTTGGAATATAAGTATTAAAATGTCATTAAAATGTTTTTTTTTCCAATTCAAAACAGATAAAGCAACTTCTGTGAAACAAACCCATTACAATTAAGTTATTATAAAATTTATTGTCTTCATTCAGATGTGTACAAGTATATAAAACAAACTAAACCAACTAAATTTACTTTTATTTTACTGTTCTGCTCTTTATTTACAGCACAAATGTACTGTGACGTTTGCTAGTTATTTGGGTAGCTAGCCTGCTGCTTTTCATACTTAGCATGCTAGCTGTAGCTTTAAATCAGAGTTGCTGTAATTGGTTATTGGTGCTTCTTTAGCTTTCACATAACTGCTTGTATTTTTGCAAACAAGATTGTTTCCAAACCACCAACTTTTGTTGTTGTTTTTTTTTTGGTCAAAAATAGAAAAGTAGGAATGTCATGTTTTAGCTAACTGAGCTGATATCTCATTAGCCCATGCTGAACATGTCTTCTTTCCCATCCAGACAGGATCAGGGAAGACGTACACGATGGGGACCGGCTTTGATGTTAACATAGTGGAGGAGGAGCTGGGGATCATTCCTCGTGCCGTCCATCACCTCTTCAAGGGCATAGAGGAGCGCCGGCAGGTGGCCCAGGAGCAGGGACGTCCGGTACCAGAGTTCAAGATCAACGCACAGTTCCTCGAGGTACACACCCCATGACTATAACTTGTGGAGATTCAGTATGTCTGAATGAGCGGTGACAGCAGGATTCAGTCACTTCAAAATCTCTGACAGTTTCTGTGCCACAGCTGCTGCTAAGGGATTAGACCGGGGTTGAGGGAGGTTGCATCTTTGTCACAAGGAGTTGAAATAAATAAAAATCATCATTTGCACTGGTACATAATACTTTGGCACCCTTTGCATATTTTATAGATGACTGCAGTACTTGTTTAGTTTTAGGGGTAAATTCTAAAGCTCCAAAGCTCATCATTTCCTTCTGTTATTAGTTTATTCTTTCAGGCGTTCATTGGCTGCAATAAGTCACTGTTATTTAATTAGGAGTCGTTTTCTTTACTAATTACTTTTCAGATTATAATTCTTCTTAATTTTATTGTGCATTTGTGTTCCGTTTACATTCTGATAAGTGATTACAGTGATTGCTCATAAAAGTTACACATAGACATAATCAAAATAAATGTGACGTTGGATTATTTGATTCAATCACTGAAAGGGGCTACCAGTGCTTCCTTTATTGACATTTTTTTCATTTGATTTTTTTTTTTTTCTGTCTTTCGCCTTTACTGTGTGCTTCTAGCTTTACAATGAGGAGGTCCTGGACCTGTTTGACTCCACACGAGACATGAAGCAGAAATCTCACATTAAGATCCACGAAGACACCAACGGGGGAATCTATACGGTTGGAGTGACCACACGGACTGTTTCCTCAGAGGCCGAGGTAAAATACAAAAACATCAAGTGCTTGTATGAAGGACTGTTTTACCTTAGCCAGAATCTGGACAGTAATGATGTCAATACACTTAGATCACTGTTCAGTGAACATCTTAGGGTTTTTGGGTCACCTTTTGGTACAAAAGCAACAATAAATAGATGCAACTATAATACTGAATTTTGTTTTGATTATTGTAATTAGAAAATATAGGGTTTATTTACAAAAAGTAGACTTTATCTTCTCATAAATTAACTATAAAATTTGAAACATCTTCAAAACGTCCCCGATTTGAATCAAATGTGACCTTATGGGCAGCATGTCATGCAAAAAGCTTCATTAGGCTCAAAACTTGCTTTAGTTTGGTGTGATCTGCTTTAGATAGCAGCTTACTTTATGCTAAACAATAAAAGCGCATGCTTCCTGGTTAGAGTTAGGATTACCCATAACTAATATATAAATCTGACCACTGAAACCTGTGTGTACTATTGACACCATGATGTTTCAGTGACATTTTATTCAATACATTCCTCAGTTCAGCACCTCAAGGCTTAAAGTCATAAAGCTTTATTTATTAATCTTTTAAATGTTTGCTTTGTAGAATTCAGAATTATTTCCCCCTGTTTAATGAACAAAATGAATGTTTCTATGTCTAAAAATTCCCATTTGTGTGTGTGCGTGTGTGTGTGCAGATGATGCAGTGCCTGAAGCTGGGCGCTCTGTCTCGTACGACAGCCAGCACTCAGATGAATGTCCAGAGCTCCCGGTCCCACGCCATTTTCACCATCCACCTGTGCCAAGTTCGCGTCTGTACTTCTGACAATGTTAGTGAGCGACGATGATCATGTCTTGAAAACACAAATTTGATTGATTAAATTTAGTTTGGGAAATTTGCTTAGTTTTCTCACTTTTTAATTTCTACATTAAAAAAACAATCTATCTTTCAGCAAGAAGGTGAGAATGATAACAAGGTCTCTAATGGAAACGGGGAGATGGACGAATACGAGACACTAACCGCCAAGTTTCACTTTGTGGACCTGGCTGGTTCTGAGAGATTGAAGAGAACCGGAGCGACGGGCGACCGGGCCAAAGAGGGCATCTCCATCAACTGTGGATTGGTATGGTTCTCCTTCACTGCCTCAGGAGTTTCCTGAGCCGAGCTCTTTATTATTTTGACATAGACTGCCACCTAGTGGTTTAGTATGTAATTACTGCCCTGAAAGGTATCAAAAAGAAAAAAAAATTGCACTTTTTCTCCCCCATAAAGATACACTATATTTTGCCCTATTATTATTCTCATGGGTGGTTTTATAAAAGCTACTGAAAGTTAAAGGGCAAAGTAGTTTTTGTGCTAATTTTATTGAGAACCAAACCCTCTAGTTGCATTTTTTTTGGGTTTTGATGAAATTAAAAGTCTACTAAACTCTCATAAATTGAATCTTTAGGAATTTAAGGCTCTTCTTCCTTGTAGAGGGATACTGTGAAAGGATGCCGCCCTGCTTAACTGAACTTGTATTGTGCTTTTCCAGTCATACTGACCACTTAAAGCACTTTACATCAGAATTTACACTCACAAATGATCATTAGGGATGGGAATTTCCTGCATCGTTTATCATTTATAATGAAAAAAATCAACAGCTCCATACAATACTGTTTGTTTATACCTGACCTCTATTGGGAAGGAGGTTGTTAAAGTTTTTATCTTACTCGTACATCAAACATGTCGGTAACCATGAGGACTTGAGAAAATAACTGTTCTTCTGGCTTCCCTGGTGTGTTTCAGCTAGCGCTGGGGAATGTAATCAGTGCTTTAGGAGACCGAAGCAAGCGGGCTTCTCACGTGCCTTACAGAGACTCCAAACTGACCCGATTGCTGCAGGACTCACTGGGAGGAAACAGGTTGGTGGGTCACTCATTTTGTCAGAGCAAGTAGTGCAAGTTATGTCTGTTAAATCTGCTTTTTCATGCATGTTTGAGAAATCCTAAAGTCTCCCATGGCCTAGTTGGACCCAGCGCCTCCTCGAATCTCCAGTTTCCAAGCTTTTGAGCTTGCGCCTCATTCTCCCCTATTAATCCCCTTTAGGTATCAGTCTTATAACCAAGAATCTCTTCTACTCTCTTTTCAGCCAAACGGTTATGATTGCATGCATTAGTCCATCTGATCGTGACTTCATGGAAACCCTGAACACGTTGAAGTACGCCAACCGAGCCCGCAACATCAAGAACAAAGTGATGGTGAACCAGGACAAGGCCAGCCAGCAGATCAGTTCGCTGAGGACCGAGATCGCCCGACTGCAGATGGAGCTGATGGAGTACAAGACGGTGAGAGGGAACTGGGACGAGGCCCTCAAGGGCTTCCGTAGGCTCCCGCTGTGGGGATGTAACAGAGCTGTTCTCTCCTGCAGGGTAAACGCATGGTGGGCGAGGATGGCGTGGAGAGCTTCAGCGACATGTTCCATGAGAACTCCATGCTGCAGACTGAGAACAGCAACCTGAGGGTGAGGGTGAAAGCCATGCAGGAGACCATCGACGCCCAGAGGGCTCGCCTCACCCAACTGCTCAGCGACCAGGCCAACCAGGCTCTGGCCAGGGCAGGTAGGACCGAAGTCGCCTGCCGGCATTCTATTCGCTGTACAAACTCCTCATCAGGAATCTGTTTCTCACCCAGGTGAAGGAGGCACAGAGGAAATTGGAAACATGATACAGAGTTACATCAAAGAAATCGAAGATCTTCGGTAAATGACTGCGTTTAATTATGTTTCATATGTTCAGTGCAACATAAGCTCTAGTATTAGCATTATGATGATATTAACATTTTGCTCATATCTAATGGGGAAACTGCAGCTGAGTGGGTAGAGCAGTCGTCTGTACTTGTGGGCCGTGGATTCGACTCCAACTTCCACATGTCGATGTGTCTCGGAGCAAGGCACTTAATCCCAATTTGCCTACTGATTTGTGTATCAGTGTATAAATGTGTGAGTGTGAATAGTTGACTCTAAATCACTTTTGATGGTCAAAATGAATGGAAAAACACTGTTTATGTTCTGTCCGTTTACCTAAACCAAGTATAATACTCACTTTATTTTCAAAACTGGGAAAAATAAAGGCACAGAGATCATTCTAAAACTAAAGTTGAAGAAACAAAATTTAAAAATTCTCATCACTCTAATTGGTGCACAACCAACATGAAGGTCTTAGGTAATCAGCAGCTGTCTAAATAAAATCACAAGATGAAATTATACACCAAAAAAGAAAGAAAGATGCTACTTGTGTAACTGTCTTTGATGAAGTATAGACCTTGCATTCATTATTTGTTATACTGTTAAGACATAGTGATAATTTTAACAAATACATAAAAAAAACATATTGTTTCTAAAAGTTACAACGTGGAGCTTTAAGTGGACTGGACTTTAGTTTTGTTAGTTTAAGTTGAGTTTTCTGGTCCCTGGATGTTTTTCTCAGGGCCAAGCTGCTGGAGAGTGAAGCGGTGAATGAGAACCTGAGGAAGAATCTGTCCCGCGCCTCCACCCGCCAGTCGTTCTACGGAGGGCCCGGTTCCTTCTCCAACGCGCTGATGGCCCCTGAGAAAGAGACTGCGGACATCATTGAGCTTGCTAAGAAAGACCTGGAGAAACTGAAGAAGCGAGAGAAAAAGAAAAAGAAAAGGTAACAAGAGAAGGGTGTGGGTCGACTGGATTATTTAGATTTACAAAGGAGTTGATGATTTTGTCTTCAGTTAGTTTTATACAAAATTATTCACTATTTTCAAAAATACAACTGTTATGGGTCTTCTTGTTTATCTGACTGAACATTTTTTTTCAGAACTTGCAACTACATTCCTGTCAAAACCATATTGTGCCCATTCTTTATACAGCTAATGTTGCAATATATTATTGTTGTTTTGTCTTTGTGGATTTTGTTGTCATAACAGTATTGTTTAAAGTTTTTTTAAAGTATACTATTTGTGAGAAGAATAAATACAAAACCTAAAGTTTTTTCCAGAAAAGCCAGAGAATGCCAAAAGTGTGAATTTGCTCTAATTCTATCAGAAAAATTTATCTTGACACCGTCGTACTGAAGGCTTGCTTGCAGCAGTGGGGTTTGTCTCCTGACTGATTCCTTGAAGCTTTGGGTTCTGCTTTTCTAGTTAATTTGTGCAGGTCTAGTTTTTTAGTCAGCTGGTCTCTGCCTGAAGTATTTTTTGTTTTTATAATTTGTGAAAATCTGTTTTTACAAATGCATTTCTTTTATGGATAGAATTCACAGTGATTGTTGTTTTTACCACAATCTCCATAAAACTTAAATTGACCAGGAAGTAACTGAACATGGCATGCCTTTAATTGAGAATTCTGGTGGTAGCATCATGAATGTAGCTGGTCGGCTGCTAGTAAATTAAATTAAATTGAGAATATTGTTTGGAAAACTTTTACTAAGAGGGCAGTTGTGGCCACGACACATTGCTGACGTATAAAGTGAAAGACGTGGATTGCTGTGAAGCTGTTGGTCTCAAAAGTGTAGCGCTTCACTTGACCGTTCTTCCTTCCATTCTTCTTCCATCTCTCTTTTTATACCCTTCTCTCCTCCCTGAAGACTCCAGCAGCTGTTGGAGGAGAGAGAAAGGGAGGAAAGGGAGGAGGTGGTGAAGGAGGTGGATGCCAGGTTTGTTCAAGCTTCCACCTTCCTTTTCCTGCCCCACATCGTTTGCTTCCACCTTGATTTTATGTCACTGAGCTATTTATTTTGCACTGATATCAGTTCCTTACTAAAGTATTCACATTCTTTGACCTTTTTCACATATTCGTCACAGTGCAACTACAAGCGTTTTATGGATTTTATCAGTTCATCAGGGGAAATGGAAGTAAAGGGATGTATGGTTTTTAAAATATTTTTACAAATGCATTTCTCTGAGTGGGCAGGTATCTGGAGAAAGTTAAAAAGAGTGAGTGACAAGGACGTTTCTGGCTTTACACTGGTGATATCAACACATTTTATGGTGGTGCAGGTGAGAAATATGTGGGCAGTGTTGGGTGAACAGAGATAAGAGGGCCGAGGACACACCCCTGTGGTGCACCAGTGTGTTCAGGATGAAAGTGGAAAAGGTCCACTCTTCCATCTTTGTGGAATTTCTGTTAAACAGCTGAGATGGCAGCCCTGATGTGAGGAAAATGAACCCATTTTTCAGGCAATAGTTTGTCAAAATTTTGAAAATATAGTTTTTTTTCTATGAATGACAAATATAGATTAAAGTACTGTATAATCAAAATATTTTGATTTGTTTTACCACATAAAGTCAAATTGGGAACTATTGAACTTTGTGGTTGTCATGTGACAGAAGATGAAGAAGTTCAAGAGTACGAATACTTTAGCAAAGCAAACGCTGCTCCTATTGCACGGTTGTTCTAGATCATTTTAAAACCCAAACCTTTGTTTTCTCAGTACCTGCTGCTCTACATTCTTGCATTTTTAATATCTGGACTCCACACAACAGAACCCAGTCACAAATTGTTCTAGGGAGTTCTACCTTTGGCTCAAAACGAGTCCAAACTAAACCCCCTTCTCTTTTTTAGTAAGCTGATCTTTCATTTCACATTTTTATTTTGCCTGACAGGTAAGCTGATCTCTGATTGGATATAACAATTATCCAATTAATGTGGTTCATGAATTTGGTTTATGTATGTATTTTTTTGTGTTGTCCCAAAATGCTGCTTTACTGTTCTTTGTTCAGAGTTGGAAGCCTCCTCATTTTAACATTATGCACTGTCTTTTCCACAATAAAGCTATGGTGCATTTCCTCAGCTAATTCTGGCATTCTGGTTTAGAAATAAATGGGATTGGAAATCCTAAATATGCATCAACATTCTCTGCTGTTTTAGTTTTTTTTTTTTTTTTATTTAAAAGCTTATTTGTCAAAAAGACAGTGTCAACCCTTGATAACAGATGTGCTTTGCATATTTCACCACGGTGCCTTTGAAAATAATAAAATAAGGGCTTTGTTTTGTAGATGATCCTTGCTTACATGAAGTTGCAACTCCAGGTTTGCTGCCGGATTCTTTTCTTCAGTTTGTCATTAACGAACATCTTTTCACTGTCATCTGTGTGTCTCTCAGCATAAGCAAAGAAGAAGTTCCTGACAACGAACAGGAGAAACCAAATGAGAAGGAAATGAACGAAGAGACTGAAATGGTTAGATCAAGATTTCAGATCAGGGTGTAATATACAGAGATCTTAATATTCTTGTGGATGCTGCTAATAAACTAAGTCATTGATTTTGATATTTTAGGATGTACAAGACACCAGTGATCATGAAGATGGAGAGGATGAGGAGGAAGAAGAGGAAGAGGAGATGGATGTGGAGGAGAGCTCTGATGATTCCGACTCAGAGTCGGATGAAAAAGGTGTAAAGATCATTAAATAGTTGAAATTATTCAATATATCATATATCTCCACAAGGTGGAGCTGTTCCCTTACAGTCAGGAAACATTAATGCTGGTCAACCTGTTGTCAGGCCCGTTATTTTAGGAAGGTGACGATATTTAGCAAAAAAAAAAAAAAAATCTATTCTACTGAAAATTGTGATTACAATTTCGATTAACACACATTTCTTGCTAATTAATTTTCTTCTGTACAACAGTCCAATTTCTACACTTCTCTTTGCAACATTTAGCATCCAAACTTCTACGAATATACATCATAGTCTGGGGAGCAAACTCACCAAATACATCAGTAGCTTTGCTACTATTTGTGTTGAAACACTTCACTTCAAGTGCCAATCATGCAGAGTCTGCATACCAACAGTATATGGGCTGTTAGATAGATGAGATGCAAGATATTAAAGTCCTGCAAACTTCTTAACCTTTCAAAAGGCTGAAATATGTCTGTGGCTGCAGATTCTTTTAAGTTTTGTGTTGTGTCTGACAGAGAACTACCAGGCTGATCTGGCCAACATCACATGCGAGATCGCCATCAAGCAGAAACTGATCGACGAGCTGGAGAACAGCCAGCGGCGTCTGCACACACTCAAGCAGCAGTACGAGCAGAAACTGATGATGCTGCAATGCAAGATCAGGGACACCCAACTGGAGCGCGACCGCGTCCTTCAGAACATGAGTAAGACCGACAAATCATCCACTAGGTGGCGCATGTGGTGTTGTTTTCAGATGGTGACAGTAAAGAAGACAGATATGTTTTTGATCTGCTGTTTCTTGCATCATCTCAGAAAAACCCAAATTTAACTCCTGCTTTGTTCTCTAAATAGACCTATAATGAAGTCAGTGTCTGTCAGAAGATGGAGACGGTTTATGTTTAGACTCAAAAACAGTAATAGATCAAACATTCTTCTAGGAATTATTAAAGGGGACATATCATGTTTTCCAGGCATATAGTGCCATTTTAAAGCACAATGAAGTAACTATTGTACCGTCAGTTGTTATAAGTATGTTATATATATCAAATATGGCTTAAAAGAAATTGAATTCCCTCCATTGAGAAGGGCAAGCCCGCGCGATCCTTCGTCCGTCAGACACTCTGTTCAATAGTTTTTTGTTCTTTAATAATATAGTTTTTCTCTTTTCCTAAAAATGCACTACTTATGATTTCGTCGGTAGTTTGTCTTAGAAGCCGTGTAAACTCCCCGATGCTGACATTCTAATAAAAAAAATCAGGAGATGGAAGCAAATGTGAGCATGTAACACTAGTCTGAAGGAGCTTTATGGGGGAAAGCTACTCTGTAACACGAAAGCTTGGAAATCGCAGCTCTGAGGAGGAGCTTCATCCTCAAAGGCAGAGCTATGTCTTACCCAGGCGTTTGCACAGCTGGATGGTTGGATGGGAGATTGAAGTATTCCTCAAACATACATAATAAAAAAATCAAATCAACACCCTGGGTATGTTTTTTATGAGGGAATGACATTATAACATGATGTAAAATAAAAAAAAAAACAGTTTATTTTACATAATACTGCCCCTTTAAAACAAGAAATTGTGTAATGTATCTTTAAAAAGGGTGACAGCCTTTTTAATTAACCTTCTTGTTTGTGCTGGACGCTTAAAGATTCTGTGGAAAGTGGCACAGAGGACAAGGCTCGTAAAATCAAGGCTGAATATGAGAAGAAGCTGAGCGTCATGAACAAGGAGCTTCAGAAGCTCCAGTCGGCTCAGAAGGAACACGCCCGCCTGCTGAAGAACCAATCGCAGTACGAGAAGCAGCTGAAGAAGCTCCAGATGGATGTGACTGAAATGAAGAAGACAAAAGTACAGCTTTTTTTCTCAGGTGTAGATTTTCTTGCCATGCATTATGTAAACCTTTTTGCGTTCTGACATCTTCAGGTTCGTCTTATGAAGCAAATGAAGGAGCAGCAGGAGAAAAACCGACTGAATGAGTCGCGCAGGAACAGAGAAATTGCCTCTTTGAAAAAGGACCAACGAAAGCAAGAGGTCAGCTTTCTCACTTCAGTGTTTTAATGCAACTCTGCTGCAGCAACATGAAATGATATAGAAAATGCTTCAGTTTATTCTAACCACTTCTGGTAACGACGCTGTTTCTCCTTCAGCATCAACTGAAGCTGCTGGAGGCTCAGAAAAGGCAGCAGGAGCTGATTCTGAGGAGAAAGACTGAGGAGGTGAGAAGAGAGAGAACAAAAGGTGGAAGATTAACAGGCTGGCTGAGGGGAGGGGATGTGGTTTTCCTCTGCTGTGATTGATTAAGTTTCAAGCATGCAGTTGTTTAACTTTTTAAAGAGGTTTGCATATGATTTAGAAAATGCAGTCCTACCAAATCATCATAAAAGTTTTACAGACTAAAATGCATCCAGTTTTAATGTAATGGCATAATCTTATATTAACATATGATTAAAAGAAATCTAACTTTGATATAACTATTTATTTAGTTGGTAAAAATCCTTCTGTAAAAGTGTTTATTTATATTATTGTCAGCAGTGTTGTTAATAGTTGGTGCCGGTGCCAGTCTTAAAGGAGCAGTATCCCAGGGCGGCAACTTTTTAGGGGAGTCTCTAAGAGATTTTTTTTATATATATTTGTTTTTATGAATGTGTATTTTGCAAACACTTCACTTTGTATAAAACTCACCGGCCCAAATAATTTCTTATATCATTTAGATTTGTTATTAATATAAACAGTAATCAATTTTAAACCTTGCAAGTGTTGCAAAATGCTTTACATTAATAGAAATCTATTAAAACACAAAATGTATACCAAATCAATATTATAGTCAATTTATAGCCATGTAAATAACATGGAGTTATTAGCTATAAGACATGTCAAACCAACAATGTATCAGTTCATACCTACTGATTTATAGTACTACATGTTCATATACTGTAATTTGGATTTGTAAATGGATAGGGCACCAAAACTGCTTCCAGCCCAGGGGTCCACATCCTTTTAAAACCGGCCCTACTTAGTACTGTCCTCTTTCGCCAACTCGTTGCGATCCCATGTTGCCTCAGCTTATGTCTGGCATGTGTGTGTTTGTCAGGTGACTGCTCTGAGAAGGCAGGTGAGGCCCACTTCAGGTAAAGTGGTCCGGAAAGTCAACCTTCCAGAGACGGTTCAAGACTCCAGTCACCGCCCGCCCTCCGGACGCCTGTACTCCTCCAGCAGCACGGCTGCAAACGGCACATGGTGAGGCTGCAAATGGCTCCTACTAACAAGATATAACTGAACCTGAATATGATTTGATCTAATCAAAACAGTACCATATAGAGTTCAGTCACAAATTGCACCAACTGGTGCAATATTGTGACGTGCAAAGAAAATGATGCACATTTCTTCTCTTTTTAAAAAAATTTCAAGCTACAATTGCCTTTATGTATGTACTGAGGAGCCTGAATGACTGATGAACGATGCCGTGTGTCCAGGTCCTCCTACAGGCGCACAGCTGGTGTTTATTCCACCAGAGTCGCTCGTAACAAATGGCAGACCCTGGAGCGACGCATCTCAGACGTTATAATGCAGAGGATGACCATTTCTAACATGGAAGCCGACATGAACCGTCTCCTGAAGGTGAAGTCATGACGCACCCAGTGGGATGTTTTATTTCAACTTTGGTTTTAAATGAAGCTGACAGGAGCCAGAACACTACCTGTGGGTTGTTGAACATGTGGGGAAAGTTTAATTCATGCTTTAAAAGTCAAATTTATGTATCTAAAATTAAAATATCTAAAATTAATTTAAAAAGTTGGCCTTAAAACATGAATCTTAAATTGTGTCATGGATTTTGTCAATCCAGTATATTCCATGTATTTCTTTTTATTTTTTTTGTCAGGCTAAAGTTTAGGTTTCAGATTGTAATAAGATTGTGTAAAGGTTCTCTTATAGTAGCACATCAAAGCCCCTCTAACTGATGCATTCCTATTGATTTATCTTTTTAAAACATATGATTAAATACATAAATTTTGTGTTAAATTTTATTTTCAGTAAATTGTTGCCAACGGCATGGTGACAACTGAAGACACATCCGTTTCAAAGTTCAGCTATTTTTAATGGCCAGACTGATTCATGTTAATTTTGTAAAATTGTTCTTGTTTTAGGCTTAAAACATATTAGCATTCTGCTAATTTGCACATGGCTAACCTTGAAAATGCTTTAGTGCTAGCAAAACTAAAGCTTAGTGCATTATGGCTTAAAAATAGACAGTTGAATCATCTGATATCTTTCATTTTTGCTCTTCCCCATCAATTTCACAGTGGTTAATGTAAAGGGTCACATTCAGAAGTTGTTCTATGAAGAGCCTTAAATAACTGTTGGTGATATTTTCAACACAGCAACGAGAAGAGCTGACGAAGCGAAAGGAGAAGGTAATCAGGAAGCGGGACCGGTTGTTGAGGGAGGGTCTGGAGGCAGAGAAGACCGTGCTCCCCCTCAACGAGGAAGTGGATGCGCTGACCGCCAACATTGATTACATTAATGACAGCATCGCCGACTGTCAGGCCAACATCATGCAGATGGAGGAAACCAAGGTAAGGAGGGCTGCTGGCTCTGAAGTATGTTTGGAGGAGTCTAGTGAAGGTTTTCAAATAGCTTGAATATCTAGATGGGAGAATTTATTATGCCAAACTGTATTTACCTAGCCAGAGAAATACTAAAGCCTACGTGGGACTTATTTGCTAAAGAATCAATAATTCAAAATAATAAAGAATTAATGACTAAGTATTTTTTTTCAGGAGGAGGGTGACACAGTGGATGTCTCTGCTGTTATTGGTTCTTGCACTCTGGTTGAAGCTCGTTTCCTACTGGATCATTTCATGTCCATGGCAATTAACAAGGTACCACTCCTCACCTTAACAGGAGACACCAATACTGCTCTGTTAGCAGTAACTACATGTAAAAATAGTTGATCTTAATGTGGTAATTTAAGACATTCAAGCATAATAATGCATTAGGCCAATATGCTTTATGACTTCAAATTTTGCATATGCTGGTGGAGATTTTCAGGCGTTCAGGATATGATAGTCATAAGTGCTCTTTAGTCATTGAAGAGGTTTTTTAGATCTTCAAGTAACAAGAGAAGTCATCCAGTTGGTTTCTAGATTTATAATTTAGCTGGATATAAATGTGTGCCTACAATAGAACCAGTAATTTCTAAAGACAAATAAATAGTTTTTTTTTTTTTACGGGTAAATATAAAACGGTGGTTAATGTAAAGGGCATGACCTTTTCAGGGTCTGCAGGCGGCTCAGCGGGAGTCTCAGGTGAAGGTGATGGAGGGCCGCCTGAAACAGACTGAAATCACCAGCGCCACACAGAACCAGCTGCTGTTTCACATGCTGAAGGAGAAGGCAGAGTTCAACCCGGAGCTGGACGCGCTGCTGGGAAACGCTCTGCAAGGTACAACAAATCCTCAACTTTAATCTGACAATCTCCAATTTCATCTTAGGAAGTAGGACGCTGACACGTTTGCTCATTTGTCAGTTTAGTTTTAGAAAGGGTTTTGTGCTTTCAGGAAGAGGATTGGGTTGCTGGTCAGCTGCATGTTTGAACTGTTGGAGAGATGCTCTTGCCTGTTGCCATCTGCTGAACAGAAGCTGGCCTTATTACTTTCTATATTTACTACTGATACTACAGCAGAAAAAACATTTCTGCACTGCTCTACCTGTTGATTTTTTCTTGTTTGTATTTTGCCAGCCTGTTCAGTAGTATGCTGTATTTAGTTCTGAATTTTCCTTTTGTTTTTTACTGGGGGATTGTTTTTTGATTTGTGCACTTTTGTTTTCCCCCATGTTTTTCTTTTTTGCTTTCTCATATTTTCACAGAGCTAGGTAACTTCCCAATTGGTAAGTGAAATCGCATTAGACCCTAATGCTCCTTATGAATGCATGGTTGCTACTTTTGGCACTTTTTTTGAACTAACTAAACTTAAGAGAAGCAGGTGCATGAGGTGCAGTGCAGCCAAGCTTCCCTACAGTTGCCAGCTGACCCTCCTCTCCCTGTTCCTTAATTCAGAAACACTCGCCCTTCCCCCCCATCTCCCTTCCAGCTGATATGTGCTACGGCCTCCATGCTTTAGCACCTGCTAACACTTTTTACAGGAATAACTACATGGACCGGTCTCAACAGGAGAGACAACCTAATAATTTCTCACACTCATAACCTTTCTGACCTCTTACCTCCATCCCAGCCCTCACACACCAGGTCACACGCTGACCCCTGACTTCACATCTTTTCCTGCTCATTGATCCCAGTGGATCCAGCAAGTAACAAGGTTGACTATCAAAAAAAAAGCATGGCGATTATTTCTTTTCTTTTCACATTTTGCTGGCACATCTCAATAAATTAAAAATATTTTTAAAGTTGATTTATTTCAGTAAAAAATTTTTATTTTAGATCTTAAATTTATTGTAATAACAGTGATATATTTCAAGCATCACTGCAGTTAATAAGGTCACCTTCCTAAAATGTTGGCCTGAATCATTTTTTTCTAAAAGTGATTTTTTTGATTATTATTATAATGATCGCATAAATGCATCTGTTGGCAAGAAAGAGGTGATCTTTTTTAATTATTCATTTATTTTTTATGGTTTAGGCCATTTTTTTTGGAAAGTGACCAAATTTAATGACTCGTATGAAATCAAAATCAAAATTTCAGTTCACCAGAAATTGTTTTGCATGCAAACATTTTTAAAACTACATTTGTAATATAGAAATGCCAGCCTGCTGAAAGTATGTCAATGTACTATAGAGAACATGCTACCAGTACTTGTCTGGGGCCACCTTATGAGCCTCCCAGGATGAAACGATAGACGATGAATGGATGGCTCTGTTTGCATGTGTCGTGGCATGGACACAATCATCCTGTGCCGCTGCTACGGTGCAGTGAAAGCTCCTAGTGTTGTCGCAAGGATGGTGGCTGTTGAGGCCCATTTCTCGGATACATCTGTGTGTGGTGTTTTCCTGAAGCACTGACTCCATCCGCCGTCCACAACCCTTCCAAACTGTTGACTGTGCTTTGCTTCATAAACCTGTGAAAGCTGCTGATATTTCTGTTGTTTGTGCATCTTTTTAACAGCTACCTTTTTCAATTCAGAAATATTCCATTAGTTCCAGACAGAAATAAAATGTTACAACACTTGGGGAAGTAGAATGCCATGGTTACAATCACCAGATATTGTCTGTTGTTATGTCTGTTGTTTAGCAACAACTGAGCTGATGACATTATATCCAGTAAGACAAGTGAGCAACATCCAATACCAGAGGGAACAATCACCTAAGAAAGCAAGTTTTCTGCAAGCGAATTGAACATTTTTAGAATGTTTTGTGATTTCTGTCCTTGTTGAATTTGTTGTTGCTCTCTGCTGGACAGCTGCCAAGTTGTCACCATTCCTCAACATGGCTGGCCCTAAGACTTCTTAGGATTTTTTAAAATTGGAAATATTCCGATTTTGGGCCAAGATTAGAAGCATAATCCACAAAGTCAACAGAAACAAACACTTGAAATATATCACTATGTGCATAATGAATCTGTGCAACAAGTTTTACTCTTGAAGTACTGAAATGAATGAACTTTTCTTATAATATTCTAATCCGCTGAGATGCGTAGAAGCCCTAATCAGCAGCTGCAACAAAAAAGCAGAAAATGGGATATGAAAACTCAATAAGTGATGCAATGTTAATGAAGATGAGCAGGAATCTCATTTTTACCAGGAAAGACTGTCATCACAGTCAGTGATAGTTATCACTGAGCTCTGATGTTCTTCACTGATCTCATTTGACAGAAAATGGGGATGATAGCAGCAGCGATGAGTCAGCCCAGAGTCCCTCAGCAGAAGGAACGTGAGTTAATGCTTCAAGGAAAACGGCTTCTTACTTTTTCTTTTTTTTTTTTTTTGCTTTAAAGATGCTTTTATTATTGTGGGTTATTTTGAGGGTTGTCATGTCTCTTGTGTTTTTTTCTATTTTTCGTTGTTGTGGCAGTGTATACTGTAATTGATTTTTGATGTTGAAGTTTCTCCTGGTTTATTTTGTATGAGGTCCTTTTTCGCTTTACCTGCAGTGAACTTCAAGTTCACTTCTTGATGTTTATTCCTTTTCCTCTGTAGCACATTGGCATCGGACCTCATGAAACTTTGTGGGGAGTCCAAAACAAGGAGCAAGGTGCATTTCAATTATAGTCATAATGTCTGATTGATTATAAATGTTACCTAGGCTTAATTTTTTTGGTGGATTTTTCCACACAGGCCCGCAGAAGGACCACCACTCAGATGGAGCTTCTGTATGCAAACAGTGAATCGGCCGGTGATGCGCCCGCTGACTTCTCCGGCCCCATGCTGTCTTTGGCTGAAACCCCAGATGGAGGTGGAGTGGACATGGACTTGTCGGGCCCATCAGTCAGAGACTACACAGCTCTTTCCCCTGGCTTTTCCTCTAAAATGGGCAGCATGTAAGTCCAAGCCCAGCTCTCTTCCACATACAGGTTCACATCTACAGTTTTCTATGCTGCTGCATGGTGGAGACTGCGGCTTTATTAGTTTGGTTGTCTTTTTTTCTTTTTTAAAACACCACCTGTTAGCCCAAGCAGATATAAAAGCATGACAAGATTTATGAATCAAAAACATGCATGGCTTTCTTGAAGTCCCATGCAAAAGCAAGCTCTTTATGGCTGTATCAGAACTAAAAATAGAGATGCACTGGTCAGAGATTTTTAAGTTGATTTCCAATACAGGGAAGAGTTGAAAATAGACAATCACCTGGTGACGTAATGGGTCCAATTGTCACGATATATGCACTTTTTATTGTAAGATCATTTAACAACTTACGTTTCAGTTTGTCATCTTTTCCATTACAGGAGCATTACCATCACGATTGATCCATAATTATTTTTATTAGGAGCAGAGGCTTGCCACCACTCTGGGTTTTGAATAATATTCAAAAACAAAGATATTAAATTCTTGACATCTTAGATATTTTGTCTTAAGCTGACTCTGACTTTGGCCTATCACTCTGCCTAGTTAGCATTACCAACAGCAATTCTTTTGTGTATTTCCTGTGCTGTGTAGTTTTTTCTATTTATTTTTTTACTTCATTTATAAGCACCTCACTGAGGCAGATAGTGACCTAATACAAGACTTCTCTGCTCCATAAGCAGGAAGTGGATTAAAGTGCAGGGCATTCTGGGTAAATACAACCAAAACAAACTAGCGCTAGCAGGGAAAATGGCTGATGGTCTTTTTGCCAAAGACAAAAGAGAAATCCTACAACCGCTAAAATCTGACGGTACGCCATTTTTGTTTATGTTTATGAAGAAGGAAGTTGTGTTCTGTGTCTTCTTCATTTTATTCAGTGGTTCTTGGTGCAGCGCCAACACAGGTGAGGAGGGGAACTGGTTTTTTAAAAGGATCATTTAATGCAGTGCGGTGTTAAAGAGAAGCACACCAGTTGGAAATGTAACAAATGTTGCAATTTTGGTCCTTAATCAAACCAAATATGCCTTACTATCAGGTGTGAAAATACCAACTTATCTCTCGGTGCATCTCTTGTAAAAATACTAACCAGACTGCTTTCTCCTTTTTTTTTTAAATCCTTGCTTCAAATCAGTTTACTTCACAACACTAGTTACACTTTTAACTGCTAGAGTATAACAAAAACCTGAAGTGTCTTTATTAGTAAACATGGGCTTGGCAAGGAACACCCCCTCTATTGGGTCTTACAGTACCAGGTAACTGTGTTTCTGCTGCATGCTCCATCTCTACAGCATTTTGTTTGGATTGACGTGTCCCAACTGCTGCTTTGTAAATATTCTTGTTTGTGTTTCTGAACAATTGGTCCAACCGAACACTCAGCTCTGGCTCCAGAACTCTGTCAGGTTTGGAGAAGCGAACCCCAGAGCCGTCCCCACTCTCTCGCAGGAAGACCTATGAAAAGGCACAAGCAGCGGCTGACAGGGCAAAGGTCAAGGAGAATAAACAGTAAGAGCTTGTTGGAGCCTTATGGCTGGAAAGCTGTAAGAAGGTGAAGCTACAGTACCTTAACTCTACTAATACTCCTGTCAATTTCCTGCTGTCGAGAAGCATGAAGCGTTTTCCAAACCAGTTGTGCTCTGAACTCAACATAATTTTGCTCCCTAACCTTGAAATTATGACTCTTCCTTGAGTCATAATGACTCTTTTCATTCCTGCTGGCTCTGACTTTGGCCTATCACTCTGCATTTGATGCTCCTTGGATCTATATTGTTATGAATTCAGTTTTATGAGTCTTGCTTTCTTTTTAAACATTCAAACCATCACAAAGGAGACCATAGCTTCAAAATGGAAGGAAATTATACAGACCTTCATCAAATCTCGTCTAATCTGACACCCCAAAATAAAATCCATTGAAACTAACTCCCTACTGAAGGGGCAATATTGTGTACAATTAAGTAAATCTTTTGTAGGTTTACATCGTGTTATAATGTTATGTCTTCACCTGTAGTGTTGTTTTGATTCTTTCATACATCTTTGAGAAATCCTTTAATTTCCTACAGCAACCATTCAGCTGTGTAGAACGCCTGGGTGGACCTAGCACCGCCTTCCTGGACGAAGCTCCTCCTGTGAGCTGCAGTTGCCAAGATTCCGAGGTTCCACCCCTCTCACCCTCTCAGCTCCTTCAGACTAGCCAGAAGAAATGAGCAAACACCTGATGGAACCAAGCATATGCTGAGCTCATTATAGGAGTTATTTATCAGTGCAACTCTGGTAAAAGCATTGTTAAATGTTACTGGAGGAGCCACATGACTTCTGGAAGGCAAGGTTTCATAAGGGATGGGAATTTTTTAAAGAGACGGAGGCCCAATTTCAAGGTGTTAAATTACAAAGCAATATTTCTTCTAAGCCATATTTGAAATCTATATAATTTTTTAAAAACATATTTTTAACAACCATTTAAACATAGTTACTTGATTGTCCTATAAAATGACACTGTGTCTAGAAAATTACATAAAATTGCCCCTTTATAAATGTTTTGATTCAATATTTTCTGACTTCCAGAAAGGTGATCCAATAATAACATGGATATAAATAACTACTCCTGAGGTGCCTGCCGTGGAACAGAAGCGGTTAAACAGTTTGTGTTTTGACCACTAAGCTAGCAGGGCACCAACCAAAAAAAAGCCTCCAGACTACAACATGACATTTACACTGGCACCAGCCTGAAGCTATCGCTGACATTTCATATGGCAAATCTTCTTATTTGTCATCATTAATAATTTTCTTAGTGTGTAACAAACATTAGCGCTTGCGATAGGGGTTGAATAGGTTTCAGGTTTTCATTTCACATCTGAAAACATTGGATAAGATCCTGAGACGTTGCAGACCACCATTCAGATATGCAAGATGGATTTATTTGAAGTTGACCTCATGTTTTGCTGGACCCAGAGTTCCCCCCGCTGCCTCATTTACCTTAAATAAAACATGAAGTGTGTTGTAGAGAGACACTGCTGGCTGACAGCACATCCTAGAAGTGACGTTATTGTTTCATGGGTTTCTCTGCTGCAGTCTTCCTACTCTTTCCTCCTGAGTGTAAACATATTTGCACACTCTTCAATGATGCAGCAGCTGAACTGGGAAGTGTTGCTGACCTTTCCAACTCTGTCTTGGAACCTAATTTCCTATTTAATTGTGAATGTTTTTAACAGATTTTATTGCAGTGTGCAAACATCAAGTCAAATGTAACATAAGTATGCTGCATAACAAATTATGAAGTAGGCATGGAACAGCACGACTATAGGACCTTGAAAAAGTTTTTTTTTTTATGGGAATATTTGCAAAAATAATGTATAACATTATCTAATAGCTTTGACCTAGATTGGCAACAATTTCATTTAAACCGGTAAAATTATATATTATTACAGTGATGGTGTAGGGCATTTTTTTTGGTTTAGTTTTGGTATAATTGATGGATAGTCAGTGAACATGTGTTGAGTCACTGTTTCATACAAATTAATTTCTATTGATTAAACGATTTTAGAAAAATCAGGAATGGAATTCTGCAAGTACAGAAATTAGTTTCAAGTCTGTTTTAGGTGATGGAAAATGTTCTAAAAGATTTACTGTTGTCTATTTTACGGATTTAGCAAACTAAAGTAAAAATGTATAACAAAACCTCAGCTGAATTTACTGAGTGGACTTATTATGTGAGTAAACCACACATAATTAATCCACTCATTCTGCTCTTAGGGACTTGAACCAGCTGATCTGAACAGATGGTTTCAACATACTTTTTTTTTAAGTGCAACTATCACAAAGACCTGTCCTCGAATGCAGAATCAACATTTTTTAATTTATTGAACAGACAAGAGAATTTGACTATAAAAATAATACCTTGTGTTTTTTTAACTTGTAGGTCGGAACAACGCCATTTTACCTATTTTAAAATAGATGTTTCTAGAACTGACTTCTAGATATTTGACAATAAAATGTTAAACAGGTTGTCGTGGAGAAGCAGCAATCCAGTTGAAGGAAACCTTGGACAATTCACTTTGAGCTAAAATCAACTTTACCCCTTACAGATGGTGTGGCAGAAACTTTTAGTGACCAAACCAAGCCTGGTGTATGTCTGAATGCTCACAAAGACCAAAATAACATAATGTGTAAATAACATCTATGGTCCCATTGCCAAATTATTAGCACGAGGCAGGACAGAAAGCTAAAGTCGCTTCCTAATGTTTGGCATGGAGTGCAGTGTAGGCTGCCACCATGATGTCACAAACCTTAAGGTGTAAACCAGCAGCCAATCACGTCTCAGGAATGCCGGACTCTCTTCCTTTCCAGGATGCACGAATGCCTTACCCTGTTCTCCAACAGAATCCTCCACCTTCTTCCTTCCCTTCTCCATCAGCCCACAAAAGTACCACCTTTTTTTATTTATGTAAATATCTAGTAAAGTTTGACCCTGTGATCCACCACTTGAGGTGGCTTTTGAACACAGACTGCCCTTTTTGGGGTTTCCTTCTGTCACAGTGACCCACACTAAACCAGCTAATGCGATTAACATAATTTATCTGGTTCTGCTTAGGTGTGTTTCAATAATTTTTTCCTCTCAGCACAACAAAGATATGTACTCCAGTTGTGTGTTAATTGGCTCTGAGAGCTCGGTACCTTGCATGTTTTTGGGTGTGTTTCCTTTCTCTTCTCCTCTCTGATAATTGGGCTACACAGTGACAAGTTGGCTGATCGCTATAGTGATGTGCGTATGTGTTTTTCAGGGGCGTTATTAACCCAGTGCCGTCCACTAAGAGCAGCCGCTCTGCGACGTTGCAGTGCGTTCACGTGGCGGAGGGACACAACAAAGCCGTGCTGTGTGTAGACTGCACCGACGACCTTTTGTTCACCGGATCCAAAGGTTAATGCTTCCAGTTGTCACTCCTCTTGGTTGTAGCCGTCACATCTCTCATCAAGACTCCATTCATGTCTCCATGTTATTCCCCTGTTCATTTATTAGTGCTTGACTCCTTGTTAAGCTGTTATATAAAGGCTGACAGGGTTGAAGGCTGCAGATAAATGAAGTAATGAAACAAAATTACTTTCTGTGTAAAAGGAAAATTCTCCTCCCGAAGAGGCTTTTCAGCATAATGAAAAGAGACGTTATTATAGAACAGCTCACTCTATTCCCTCTAATTATTAACGGTGAAAGCGTTGAATGTTTTGATCATGCAACAGTGTGAACATCAATATTTGCTGCATTTGTTTTTTAATCTTGTAGTTCTGATGATTTAAAACAGTGGCAGCATTAACAGATTTGGATCCTCTTGCAGACCGAACCTGTAAAGTGTGGAACCTGGTGACGGGTCAGGAAATAATGTCCCTGGGAGGCCACCCTAACAACGTGGTGTCGGTCCGCTACAGCTCCAGTCTAGTCTTCACCGTCTCCACTTCGTACATCAAAGTGTGGGACATCAGGGACTCGGCCAAATGCATCAGAACTCTAACGTAAGCAGGATGGTCAATGTGTTCAATTTCTGCTAATGGGCTTAAATTGGAGCTAACTTTGAAAACATTTAGTGCATTTAGCTTCTCCTAAATAAAAAATTTCCAGATAAATTACAAGACTGTAATTTAAGTAGTTAGACTTTTACTTTCATCTTCTTATTTTAAAGTGGGTGGAAACTGTTTACTCAGCAGAATTGTTTCCCCTCCTCCGTCTTTTTTTTTTTCTTGGACAAAACATTATTAAGCAAATGGCTTAAAGTATATAACAAACGATTGAATGCATGCATGCATAAATCCACATTTGAATTGTTTTGAGCGTCTTCCCACGTTCTCATGACAAATGGTTTGATTTAGCTTCTGCAAAATACTATGTCGGCGTAGCCGTTTAGTGTTGGTGGAGCTAAGGTTTATGATTAGTGTTTTAGGGTGGATATCTTTTTTTAGGCAGATATCTTTTTGCTTGGCGGTGTCCATCACTGTCCCTTGTGCTGCTTGAAAAAATTTGAACATGTTTGCCAGCAAAAGGTTTTAAGAAATTATCCAAGAAACTTGGCTAATATGTGTTAGAGCAACATTTAATTTAGCCTTGGGATTAATAAAGTATTTCTGAGTTGAATTTAATATCAACCGTCTCACATGACAATCCCATGTAAGAAGTTTGGGGCGAAATATGATAGAGCCTGTTTAGTGAGCTGAAAATTTTCTGGTCACAGATATTCATCAGTTCCCATCTCTGTGTCCAGGTCCTCTGGTCAGGTCAACATTGGGGATATTTGTGCATCTAACACCAGTCGGACGGTCACCATCCCGTCAGGGGAAAACCAGATCAACCAAATTGCTCTCAATCCCAATGGAATGGTTCTGTATGCTGCTGCTGGAAACTCAGTTCGGGTGTGGGATCTGAGGAGGTAGGCTGCCTTTACGCTTCTCTTCTAATCCACTGATGTATGTTTATTTACCTTCTCAGGACGTCCACATGCATATGTGTATCTAAAATAAAGGCCTTCTAATTTAGCCTTTAATAAAGTTATCCCAGCTCTTAAATTTCATGTTGGCTGGACTATTTAATCTCATATATTTAGTATTTTTTAGTTTTCTTGACAGACTTGTCAAGAAAAATAATCACTTGTTTGAGCACTCTGTGTTTTGAGGCTCAAACAATTTTCTTCTCCACCCCATAAGACTTGCACCTGGAATCGTAAGGTTTTCTCAATACAAATAGATGTCACCTTTTTTAGATTTTCTTTCCAAAAATTAAGATTGGTATCAATTTCTAACCACTTCAATTATTTATTCTCTGTTGGTCTTGTAACACAGAATCCCAACAAAGTACTTTAAAATTTCAGGTGGTAGTGTGACAAAACATGGAGACATTTAAGAGACTTGAAGTTTGATTGTTTTCACTGCTTGAACAACTTAATTCAGACTGAAACTGAGACAGAATCCAATCTTCAGCCTCCATCAGTCACTGTCAGCTGCCTGCTGTTGGCTTTGATGGATTGCCTGTTTATCCATTGTTGGAAAATAAACTCTGCTAATAGCCGTCACCTTGAATGAGTAAAACAACACAAGATGGAAATATGCTGTCATTTTCTGGGCGCAAACAGCCAAACTTGTTCTCTGAACTTTAGGAGCGAGCTATGTTTTACAAAGTGTGGTGTATAAAGCTCCTGCTGCGTTGGTGACATTTTCCCCTTTGTTATATGATGAATAATAATGTAATCAGGTTTTCTGTTGGCTGTCTCTTTGTGGTTCTGGGAGGAACAGTTAAGTGGCATTATGTATAATTTTTGCTCAGATTCGTTTCCACCGGAAAGCTAACGGGCCACCTGGGTCCCGTCATGTGTCTGACTGTGGATCAGTCTGGAAACAACCAAGACCTGGTGATCACTGGGTCCAAGGATCATTACATTAAGGTGGGTTTCTTTGCTCGTAACGTAACACAGTCTAACTTGTTTTCTTTCTGACAACTAGTGTTTGGTAGAAAAAAACCTATAGATCCAAAACAGTAGCCAGTTGTTCAGATGTCTGTTGCTGTTGCAGTTATTCGATGTAAGTGAAGGCTCTCTGGGGAGCGTCAGCCCTACGCACAACTTTGAGCCTCCCCACTATGATGGTATCGAGTCATTGGTGGTCCAGGGGGACATTTTCTTTAGCGGTTCCCGCGACAACGGAATCAAAAAGTGGGATCTGGATCGCAAAGACTTACTGCAGGTACACAATGCCAATCCCTCAAACAATTTTTTCAAGAAGCTACTTTAAAATAGCTGCCTGAATGCTGTTATTATGAATTGCACCATTAGAATAATAAAATGTGTCATTGTCATTCATAGCAAGTCCCAAATGCTCACCGTGACTGGGTTTGTGCCCTGGGCATCGTCCCCAGTTCCCCGGCCCTGCTGAGTGGCTGCAGAGGAGGGGTGCTCAAGCTCTGGCACACAGACACACTGGGGCCTCTGGGGGAACTCAAGGGTCATGAGAGCCCCATAAACAGCATCGCTGCAAACAGCAGCCACCTGTTTACAGCCTCCGAGTAAGTCCAGCACACACGCACACACGCGCGCACGCGCACCCACCCACGCACGCCCACGCACGCACACACGCATATACACACACGCACACACACACACGCACACACACACACACACACACGCACCCACACACACACACACACACTCCAAAACTTGCTTTGGCTGCTGTGAGCTTAGAGAGTCAGTTTTCTGTGAAAGAGTTTGGACCAGTTTGTGTGAAATACAACGCATGCTGCCACAGTATTGCTCCATTTTACATTCTGATACTTTTGATTGCTTCAGTTTTTTAACCACTTTTTCAACATCTGAAACTACTGAGCTACAGAGTGAGGGATGGGGAAAAAAATCAAACAATAATCAGATTTAGTTTCATGTCACAGCATCCAACTCATAAACTTGTTGCATATATTTCAATGTTATTATTATAAAGTTATCTAAAATGCTACAGGGTGAAAAATTAGCTCAGCTGTTAGCCGGTCTGCAAGCTGAGCAGACCGGCTCTGATTTCTCTGCATTTCATGCAAACACTGTAGCAACATGTTAGCTCAAGGCGTTTGTACAGGTCTGTGTGTATTATAGACTGTGTGTTACATTAAGGAAGCCATATTGGATTGTGAGGTCAGAAGAGGCGAAAAACCTCAAATTTTTGCTGTCAGAATTCCAGATTCAGTTCTGTTCATTTTTACCTCTTCAAGCATAAAAATGGTAGTTACACCACATCCACTGATTAAGTAGAGCTAGTAGAGAAGACCTTTCTTTGTGTGGTTTTGTGACAAAAGACAAGACATGGAGCTGTAGCAGGTTAACATGAACTTTAGCATTCTTTCCATTTGTCTGAATTTTTAACTCCATTTATGCTCATTTGCTTTCTTGCGTCATAGCGACCGCACAGTGAAGATCTGGCGCGCCCGCGGCGGACTGGACAGCAACTTAGAGGGCGTGGACAATGCAGATGAGGTGGCCAGTAACTGAGTGCAGTGCCACCCGCCTGTGTTGACTCCAGAAGGATATAACTGCATTCTGTGACGCTGCTGCTCTTGCACTTTGCCCTCAAACATCTTAACCCAGCGCTGACTCTGAATATGCTCACTGTCTTGGCCAAACGATCGTTGACTCAGCCCAAACTCGCTCAGTAATCTCATAATCTCTTAAGGTACTTTTTTCATTTCAATGTTCGGAACGGCTCCGTTTCAGGTTTTCCGCTGTACGAACTGCAGCTTCTTGAGTTTCTCTTGATTGTCAGTTTCATTCCAAATCTCAAAAGTATTCGCTGAGACACACTCTCGAAGGGGGTTACTGAGTCAGAGAGGGTGCAAAGACGAGCAGCTGCTCCCCGCCTGCATCGAGAGGATTCTGGACCGCAGAGAAAACCCAAGCATGAACTGCACCATGCCACGCTGTGGAAACGTGCCATAGACTCCGACTCTGTCCACTTGCAATTACAGTTTCAAGGAAAAACACGTTTTCTGCTTGTACCGTAGAAGAGTAATCATAGAAGCTTGTACTTTGAAAATAGACACAACGATACAGGTTCTAGAGTAACTGTTTAGCTCAGCATAATAAATCCTGTTCCATGAGACAAAATGGATGAACTCTGACCCAGAAACAAAAGACTGTTCTCAGATTTGGGAAGACTGTTGTAGGAGGAAAATTTGGTAGATTTAGAATTGATAGTGATCACTTTTTAGTTCATTTAGTAGATTTCTTCCACATCAGATTTCTTCCACACTGTTTCATCTCAGCTTTGCTGTTGAGTAACAGCTTTAGTCCACCGATCAAATTCGTACAACTTATGCAAAGTTGAGACGTTACCACTAATATGAATGATATCTGAAGCTACATCAACCTTTTTTTAATTTAAAACAAGTCATCATGTCTCGTACAATTTTGGAATTTTAAGCATTTTCTGCATCGATTTCTTTGGTTGTTTCTTTTTCTTCCTTTTTTTTGAATCCCATTTTTACAGAATGCTTCCCCACTATCAACGTTGAGACGTTTGTGGTCAATTTTAAGTCTTAAATTTTTCTGAAGCTTCGATCTGCCGGTCCAGATTTGAGCTTCCTCCAATTTCTTCTGTAAGGACTGCAAAACTAGAACGTACAAAACAATGTTTGTTTATGGGGTTTTTTGTCTTTGTTTCTTTCTTGTACAAAGAACAAAACAAAAAGCAAAATCATTTTAAACTGGACTTAACATCATCCACTAGCAACAGCACCGTTAGCTTGGCTAGCATTTCTAAAACCAGTCTCCATGGATATATCCTAGAGAATGTACATTAACTATTTGAAAAACGACTAACTTTGAGTCTTCTCTCATTTGCAGCAGCCAGAATCATCCAGTTTCAGTCAGCCCCTCATTTTTCTGAGTGTCTAAGTAAACTGCAGGCCTTTTAAAGGGCAAAGCTCTTAGTTTTAGCCTCTTAATGTAATGAGAAGAGTGCAAATCTTCTTCAACTTTGTTGAACTATTCCTTTAACACTTGAGCACTTGTAAAAAAAACAAAACCACGATAACACAGTTAAGCTTTGAGGCTAATGTAATTGTTAAATATGAGCAGGTTTAAACTATAAACACACCACCTGTTCTTGTGTCAATGTGTGACAATCTGTGAACCACGCACTACTAGATTTTGTCTCGTTGCTACCGGTGAGTTCCACCTGATATCATGGCCCTACTTTCTGTAGATACTTTACTGTATGTTTTTGTTTTCGTTAGGAGAAGAGAGGTCTTCAGTACGATGACCTGTTAGGGCCATCGTAGGGAAGGAAAAAAAAGAGCAAATTACTCATTTTTAGATTAACTTCAGAAATTTACCAGGAAAAACAAAAAAAATGTTTTAAAAGTAAAAAATTTGTTGTGGAAAAAACTGTCACATTTTGCAATTCTCAGAAATTAAAAAGAAACAAGGAGATTTGAGTTACAAAATTTTAACATTGGCTGCAAAAAAGAAAATACTTAAGTTTTTTATTTAATCTCAAAAATTTTCTAGAAAAAACAAGGTAACATTTCTGAGATTAAAAAGTTGAAATTTTCATTTGAAAAGTTTTTTTTAATGAGGTGAATAAGAAATCTTGTGGAAAAAACAAGTAATTGACTTCCTTTCAAAAGTCAAAACGGTTTAGACTTTTTTCTAGAAAAATTCGGAGATTCATCAAAATTCCTGAATTTCTGTAACATTTTTTGACTTCTCATGCTCAGAAATGTCCTTGTTCTTCTAGATGGTTTGAGATTTTTTTGGGCAGAAATGTCCTTTTTTTCCCCGTCTCATCTACAACGGCCCCAACACGCCATCGTACTTCAGTTTGTCTCGTTCATCTCTCCCAGTTCTGATCCTTGTGGCTGAAGGCTTCTGGCCTCTGTTGTAATCTCTCCGTCTGTCTCGGCTGTGCGCCTTTACTTATGAATGTTGAGTGGAAAAGCAGCTGTATGAATTGTTGCATTTCATATCTGATGTTTGTGAAACTTGCATATATAAAAATGTAACTGAATGTTGGCGCTGTGAGACCGCTGATCTAAATCCAGTCTCACAGCAGAACCAAGAGGACCAGACTTAGCAGAAGGATCAACAGGCAGCATTAGCAGGAGTTTTCCCTCCAACTACAGTTATTTTACGTTTTACGTTTTTATTTTATTCTGCTTTTTGTTCCTTAAATGGAGGTTTAGTAGCCATTCCCCAAATGGCAAACTGTAGCGATTCTAATGTCAGATGCCTGATGAGAATAAATGCCATCTGTCAAAAACACCAAAGCATGTGTGACTTTTCTGCTTGCTTAATTCAAGGCTTAAAAACACATCAAACATCTTGTATAGATTTAAAACTTGGTATCATATTTTATTTCTCAAAGTGCTGTAGTAAAGGTCTGTGACCAGGATGGATTCACGGATCCAGTGCAAAGGTCTGGGGGATTTGATTTGACCAAGAAGGGATCATGTCGCATTGTAATGAGGAAATATTATCGAAAACACACAAAATGGAAACGGCCTTTATTATCAACTGAACAGTATCAACAGATATGAAGGTTCACACAAAATGTGTTAGTGTAAAAAATTATATATTCTCACATATTATGTTATGTTCTCACATATTTTCTTCAATCCTACAGTTTTGTTTTTGACACTTCCTGGAGTATTTTAACTTGTTCCTTGTGATTGGTTCTTTATGATCCCAGCAATACACCGATTGGATGAAAACAATCTGTCATTTGCTGGTCGTGTGGTTCATTTTCATAGACTTTACATACTGCCTGTAAACTAACTCTGTAAATTTAAGTTGTAAGCTTAACCTAAGTCGCTTGCATTGACTTAATTTTGTGTTAACATAAAGCAGTGGTTCCCAAAGTGTGGGGGAAGCGGAAAGCAGTATGGATGAAAAACAACCCAGTTACACAAAAGAGTTTCACTGTAAAGATGGTTTGTAGTGTGTCAGTGTGAAATAAACTTCAGTGGAGTTTGTAAACAAAATAAGTGTAAAGCTTTATGTCTGTTTAAATTATGTGTTTGTGTGCCCAGTTTATTTTTTTGTGTATCTTTTTTGGGGGGATTTTATTCATAAGGGACCCAGAAAATCTTTGGGAACCACTGACTTAAAGTAAGTTGTTTGCTTTTAACTTACTTTATATAAACAAAAAGAAACTCAGTCAATTGCATTGTGAAATTCCACATGTTTTGGGCCTTCTCTGTGTTCTGTACATGAGGAGTAGGAACAAGGTTGTTATCCTTCTCACCAATAAATGACTGAGACACACAACACAATATGAACCTATGGAAATGAGATGAATGCCACTGCCATGTAGACATTTTGTCCTTGTCTCCTTATCAACTTTTCAATAAACTGTCTGTCCACCATGGAAAACCACCACCAATAAACATGTGACCAGGAACCAATGGAAGAAGCTGAGCACTTCTGCTGAATCTCTGAACTTAACACACTTAATTTACCTTGGGCTCAGGTACATCAGCTGGTGGAGGCAGAGTGATGCTTTGGGCTATGTTCTACTGCGAAACCATGGTTACAGTCACGGATGATGCTTGACATGTCCCAACAGTCATCTCAGTGATCTTGGGATGTGACTGCTGTTGTCCAGACAACCTACCAACAATAAGATTTCATTGTTCATCTTATTGAGATATTTGGAGGTAACCATAACCACCACGAGAAGGACAATGATTTTAAGCATACGAACCCATTTTTTTATTTTAAAGCTGCATCAATCTCAGTAGATTGATGCGGACGTTTCATTAGGACTGAAAGTTCTACACTTATTTACTCACTTATTTCAAAGATCCAGTGAAAATAAAGTTTTAGCTCCCAAAACTAGCTACAGACCAGTAATGTGAATCTGATGTCTGAAGGCTAGATCTGTCCCGACGGCCGCGTTCTGTTCTCTTCCTCTGTGTCCACTTCTTTTGTGTCCACTAAAAGAAGTGGACACAAGGTGGCAGTAGCAGCATTTACAGAGCCAACCAGGAAGAGAACGACAACATAACTTTGCGTTTTTCTACGTCTGGCCATCAGAAGGCCGAAAAACAAAATCAGCAACCATCCCTCATGCCCCACTGATCAGCTTCCACTCACAACATGTGAAGCAGAAGTAGACACTGCACCTATACTGACACTGTAAACATTTCATTTTGTTGAGTTAACTGAAACACACAGAGCCAGACATGAATAATTAACCTGATTTCAACTTCCAGTCAGGGGAATGAAACATCCCAGCCTTTAAATCCTCGTTTAAAAGCTTTACATAAGCCAAGTTATTTTGCAATAAATGTTTCATAATTTTGAAGTAAAAGAGAACTTAAGCCAACATCAAAGTAAAATAAGAAGCTTTAAATTATATTTGAAACAGACTCATGTGATACTGATGCACAGTGATTGTAAACTCTTGGGGTTATTCAGGTTCGTAGTTAATATTTGCATTTGTTCAGGTTGTTTTCAGTCGTGGTAAAAGGAAAGTGCATCCTCTTTAAAATGAAGGATGTTGCATATGAAAACGTGGGAAAAACACAAAGACTTAGTGTCACACTGGAGAACAAAAAAATAAAGGGAAACAGGTGCAAACTGATCATTCAGTCTTTATTTTGGGTGACTGATGCAAAACTGATCTTATCAATCTGCAAAGCAACTCTTCAATCCCTCCTGTGATGTTTTGTGACAAAACTATTAACTTTCTTCAATCTCTTTGGAGTCTGAGTCAGCAACACATAAAAGCACTGATTATTGTTTCATGTTTTTCAGCAAAATAGGACCGGAATATGACAGGTGATCTTACGACACGTGACGGAGTCAGTTACATATAAAGCAAATCGGTATCAACTGAAATCGGAATCGATAGATCAGGGATCTTAAAGACCTGAGATCAGCCAGTACATTGCAATCAGTGCATTCCTAAAGCGAAACCACTTAGTATTTTTAGTTTTGACAGCAAACTCTGAAGGATTTCTCAAGCAATTGAACGATTAAATATTTTGGTAACTGAATCAACTGAGATTATACTCTCAGCTCTTTGGGAATAACTATGAATTCAGAAATATTTACTGCTTTTAAATTTAAGCAATTTTCTTTTCTTCTCTGTTCTATCAATTGTTTGGCTTCTACCAGAAATATTAAGGATTTTGATTATGGTTTTTATACATACATATTACCTTCTTTTCACAGTTTTATAATTAGGAGTTTTCCTCCCGTCTGAGGAAATAAGTGGCTAATTTGGATATTCTGGCTCTAAAATGTGCAGCAGAGTCTGAAGCTTAATGAACATCTCAGGAGGTCACCAGGATCTGCTCCATAAACCTGCAGCTTCGTCTGGCAGATGGCACCAATCACCGGCCACCTGATGGGTTAAACACTTCGGAGGATCATTTCCCTCAACGCAGCCACAAAAACAGGTTGTGTTGCACATTCATCTTGTTTGTCAAGGCACTCCACCCTTTAGGGACACACATTACACAAATTTCTGATGTTCTCAGCGATGGCAAGCAATCTTTCTGAGATGCAAGCCTATTTATATCTCTTTTTTTTCTCCTCAAAAAAACAGAATAAGCTGCTTTTTCATAAGATGCAGAGATGTGCACATTTTACCTCACAGAGAGAGAGAGAGAGATGCTGAACTACCTCAGCAGAAACTGGAGTTGAAGAGGCCTTGACAGGGGAACCAGAGCATGAGAGAAACTGTATGTTTCTGCGCTGTGCTGGTTTTATGAAGTGATCAGGCCGTGACGCGGTTTGTCTTTAGAGAGGATGCTTTCTTGATTCATTCTGACGAGGACAAACAGAAAACTACTGTTCCACAGCACACACCTCTCCTGCAGGACAACATGACAAAAGGGGAGGGGCACAAACAATTGAAAGACAACACCACAGAAGAAGAAATGAAAAGGAGGGGCTTCCCGCTCTTAAAGTGACAGGTGTTTCAGTCAGATATGAAAGATACAAATAACCAAAAAAACTTAACTTATCATTTGTCCATCAAAATTATTAGATGCTTAGCCAGTTAGCATAGCTTGTGGATGTAATGTAACTGTTGAATTGTAACATTTGGAATGTTTGTGGCATCCTGCAGACGCTAGTTAGTTAGCATGTTTAGCTCTGTCAGGTCTCTCATCTGTGACAGAACGGTAAGCTGCATAGTCTGTATCCTGTCGGTTGTAATACGAATGAATAAGTCAAATTAGAAAACATGGAGGACAGTTCTTAGCAAAATTGTCTCCATTGTATATGCGTACATTTTCGAAATTGGTTGAAATTTAATCAACTTGAGTGACTTTCAGCTGTTCAATTTGAAACATTTCTTCTCAAAAACGGATTCAAATGCACCGAAATGAAACACGCAAAAAATATTCTGCCGCTTTTACATTCCAACAGCACGTTTTATCAGCGTACCTTTTAAAGACTTGGTATGTACATGTGAGTAATGTCCTGCAAGTCGAGCGCTGGTTAATGGAGGACGGATGACATGCATGTTTATCTCAGGGAGGTTCTGACTGGAAGAAGGAAACTGATGAGGCAACAATTATATGAACAGCTGGAGCAGCTCTGTGCCCCACTCATTTCAAATCTGTTTCTTGGAGCAAAGTCACGAATACACTAGAAAAAGGTGGAGGGAACAAAAAAAAAAAAGAGTCGCACAGATAATTGGAGAAAAAGTGTTTTAAGCTGTGCTTTGTTGGAAGAGAGAGAAGAGTTATTTGACTTGGCCACAGAGGAAGTGATCAGACGCCTCCCCAGACATGTAGCTCATTTGTCAAGTCGCTTCACCCCAAAGGAGTCTGACTTTGCATTCTCTAAGTCCTCTTACTGCTCTCATTTTTGCAACTGGCCACATCCAACACCTCTGAATCGCTCCCTGAGCCGCTGCAGACCGCTGATACGGCACTTGTTCTTCAGACGGAGGCACTCAGCAGCAACTTTCTCATTTTGGCTCTTCAGCCACGTTGATTTCAGACGCGGCCTGACGGTCTGCTTTAGTTAATGAAATAAAGTGTTATATGTTTTATTCAAAGACCTCAGGAGTTTAATCTCACATGATGTGAACCAAACAAATGAACACCTGAGGACAAAAAGACGCTTTAAAGTGTCAAGAACCTGAGCTTTCATGCAATGTCTCTGGTGCATTTTCCCAATTACTTCAAATTTTTCAACTCAGTCTCATTATTATTTCAATGAACAAGTGTTCAGAACAGATCAGCAGATCAGTTCTGGCCGCTGGCGTAAAACCAGAAGAAGATCTCTCCCTGTGCAGACTAAACCCTAAATCAATCCTGCTGTCGGCGATCCCTCAATCGGAGGTGAAGACAACCTCGTTTTCATCTCGGCGCCGGCGAGATGGGGAGAGACTCAGGCTTCTGTCAGAATGAGTTTTTGAAGAGTCTTGAAGAGAAGCAGAGCTGATGGCTTCCAAGAAAGATACAGAACATCAGGAACAAATGCGAAATGGAATCGCTCCGAGCACATATGTGTTACTATACACTTAAATTCAGAGGGATAAAAAAAATAAAATCCCAAAACACGCATGTCTACGAGGAAAACACCAGGCGTACGCTGTCTGCACAGATGGAATAGAAAATAAAGAAATTATGCGTCTGCACCGTAAAGCAAAAGATTCTGTTCAACAAAAGATCTGGATTTTCAGCAACAATTAAACAAGTGACTTTAACTTTTGGATTAAAAAAAGTTAGGATTTGACCTCAAGCTCAAGCACAATTGGATTATGTGGCAATACAATTATCCAAAGCACACCAGAGGGCGCTGCTCTGAAAGTGTAAAGACAAAAAGAACGTCTTAAAATTGCCTAGTCAAAGTCTGGATGACTTTATGACAACAGTTCATGTTCAAACCCCTTTATAGTCAAATAGGCTCCCTTTGAGAAAACTCCCGGCAAATGGCGAGAAATCTCAACAAAGTGGGAGGAGCCAATAACATCAGAGGGGCGTGGCCAAGTTGAGCGGAAGGTTGCCGTATTTACATATGGCAACTCTTCCAACTTTTTTTTTTTTTTTTAAATAATAAAAAAAAGAGCAACCAGCAATAAATCGAGCAACCATTTTATATCGGAGACTTTTGGCGACATGAAAGCACAAATAAGATACGCTAGTGTTACAGAAATAATTTTACTTGAGAAAATTTGCATTTTTTTTTTTTTCATTTTTACTGCAGTGTGAGCTGCAACATGTGCTGGGAGTGAAACTCCTGATTTGATAAATTAAGCAGGTGCTCAACCTGCTGAGTGGACTGTCTGTCTGGATCCTCTAACTAATCCAAGATGGCGCCCAAACTCCCATAATTAGCTCTCAGGTTCATGCTGAGCTGGTTAATTGAGTTTGCTTTGCTTAGGTGGCTTTTGTCATTTGGCCACAGTTTGACTCTTTTTACCGGCCAATCATTTGGGTTTTTTTTTTTTTTTTTTTTTTTTTTTTTAGATAAGCAGCTCAGTGTTTTTATTTTTTTAAAGAATGCAAGAGGAAGCTTCAGGGGATGCGGATCCTCATGTGGTCTTTTAAAGTCCTTAATTACTTTTGCTTTATAAGCGCAGTAATTTTCACTTCCAGAAAATCTAGGACCGTAATCCCTTTCAGAATGTTCTGGTTTGGTAAAGTGATTCTTGACCGAATTTTCCTTTATTTCTAAAACTTTGGGACAAAGTGGCATTTTACAGCACGATCAAATGTCTATGCTTCAGTTGTTAAAAATTTCTTTACGTATCAAATATAACTTAAATTAAATTTGATCTCATAAGTTAATGCTTTGAAATTGGGTCTCTGTCTCTTTAAAACCTTCTGCTCTTTCTGAAACGCCACCTTCAAGAATTCATCACAAAATTCCATATTTGTTAAAACCGTCTCCATGTTGCTACATTACAATATGAGACAGATAATCTATGAAAAAATCAATCTTTTCAACTTCCACCCTTGACTGCTATTACCACTTGAAGAAATACATCTTTTCAGAAACAACCAATCAGAGCCGGGAGGAGGGTCTTAGAGCTGTCAATCTACGCTGCTAATTGTACTGATGGCGGAAAACTAGCTTTAGCATTTATAGCAGGCTATGTTTTGGTGAGCCAACTGTAGCAGACACCAAGGTGGAGAGGGAGAACATGAGTGTGATTGACAGCGCTAAGGCCCGCCTCTTGGCTCTGATTGGTTGTTTCAGAAATAGTGGTGTGTTTCTGCAGTTTGCATTGGAGCACTGGAAGACAGCAGAGGAACAGAGGTTTTCCTTTCTTTCATATTGTATGTCTTATGCTGTCATTATATAATGGTAATAAATGTAAAAAAAAAAAAAAAACAGTTACAAGCTGCAGCTTTACCAACATTTTCATTTTTATTCCTCCTAAAATGAACTTTTTACCTGCTGTCTGGCATGTCCACAAAGCTTTTAGAAGTGTTTCTTGTTTGTTTTTTATATGCGTGTTTGTTTTGGGAACTGACGGTCTGACGGGACTTCCCTGCTGTCCAACTGAATTCAGCCGCTTCTCTTCAGTGTTGCTCTATGACCTGGAGGGCTAAATAACTGAAACATAAATCATTTGTCTATATAACAACATAATTAAAAAAAATAATAAAATAAATAAATAACTGATCGACCGCCTTGTGTACAGTAGGATGTAGTTTAAACTGCGTTGTGACGTTTCACGTCAGTCACCTCTGAGTCTGATCAGCCGCTGGACCCGGACACGAGCCTCGGGCGGCTCTGACGGGTTCGGTTCGGGGAGGTTCTGCCATCTCTGCTCGCGCTCCTGTATGTGTGTCGGCACGTGCGTCGTCCCGCCCCCCTTGCCCTCCATCCTCTCTCTCTCTCTCTCTCTCTCTCTCTCTCTCTCTCTCTCTCTCTCTCTCTCTCTCTCTCTCTCTCTCTCTCTCTCTCTCTTTTTGTCTCTCTCTGTCCGGTGTTTTATTTCCGCGCTTCCAGAAGAAAACACCGGTCTCGCTTGGGCTTAGTTGCAACATTAGTTTTTTTGTTTTGTTTTTTTTAAATCAAAGTAATTAACCAGTGTATATATCTACATATATACATATCTCCTGTCTCTTTGTCCCTGCTCTCCTCTCCTCTCCTCTCATGCCGCTTCGGCTCCAGAGAAGCGGCTCCTCTTGACGGACCGAGCCGAGCCGAGCCGGATCCTCCATGAACATGGCGAGCATCGGGGACGCGGACCCCTTCACCGCCGCGATACCTGCCACCAAAGTTGAGCTGACTGTGTCCTGCAGGTGAGTGCGAGGCATATATAGCTATAAATGAGCATTTTGGGAAGATTTGCTTTGTGTTGCTGAAGACATTGGATGGAAACACACATCAGTCCGAATGTGTGTGTGTTCCAGTGAGGTGTTGATGATGCACAAACACGCATCAAGGACTTTTGTTTCTAAATTGTTTTTGATTTTTTTTTTTTTATGAAATCTTTCGGGCTTTTTTTTTAACCCCCTGCCGAGCAAATAGATTGATGACTGTTGGGAAACGGAGGGAGAGGGGAAGCAGGACTGATGCTCAATTTGTTGGAAAACTGTAAATCGGTGAGAGAGGATGATAAAAAAAAATTTTTTTTAATCTGTGAAACTCTTTAAAACCTTGCAGTTTGAACCGAAAAGCGGAAAAAAAAAAAAAAAAAGTAAGAGTCTCACAGCATTCTGGTCATTGGGAACACTTATTGTCCAGTTTGGGTCTGTAGATGTGGAACCGTTCTGCTTCCTGTGAGATCCAAACAGAAAACTCATGGAACTGGGAAAATAACAGTACAAATAGGCTGGGAGTTAAACCTGCATATTGAATCATATTCGTTTATTATTCCGGGTTTTATGGCTCATAATTACATCAGATATGTTATGATTAGAGCTGGATAATATTTAGATCATCAATTCAACTGAAATATATTTTATTCACCTCAAAGTGGAACTTTATGTCGTCGTAACTCATTAGTCAAGATTCTTCACACAGGTGTTGCAGATGGTGATAGGAGGAAGGATCTCCTGTAGCAGTCCGTGTCACAGCGACCTGCAGAAGCCTCTGTTTTTCCGTGACAGTCTCATGAAGACGCTCAGGGTTAGCCATCATTTTCTCCCCAACAACAGAGCTGATTTGCTGAAGCTCCCAGAGACGGAGTGAGAAACTGCAGTGAATTCTGAATTGAGTTTGATGGGAAAGGAAGCAAACGGTGCTCTGCTGCCATCATGTTGTCGCTGTGATCTGTCCGAAACTTCTCCACACGTCTAAATAAAATCTTAGCGGAGCAGCTCTGGATTCTGAGACAGACATGGATCAAGATCAAAACCAGAGGCAAAATGTGCCTCTGGTTTTGTCTGCTGCTGTACCAGAAGCAGCATAAAAACGCAGCAGTTGCAGCACTTTTGCTGCTGAACCTTTATGCGATCAAACAGAGCTGTTCGGACAGCGTTGTCGTCTGTTCTATTTTAGATGTCGAGATATATTTGCACGGATTTCCCTCAGATTTCGCAGACTGACTGACGCTTCAGCTCACAGAGAGCGGTGGGGAGATCACCACCAAGCGAAGAAATGAAGGAAGAAAAAAATCCAAGGAGAATTGCAATTCACATGCCTTGGAAATTTTACACAATTCATGTTCCCTTTAAGAGTTTGGCCTACAAATTAAAAACACGTGTTGTGTTTCTGTAATTGTCTTATTCCAAACACCACATGTCAGGAAAAATATACCTATTAACTGCAAACCACGTGTGAGTTGTTTGCAGTTAAAAAAAAATAAGTAAACTTTATTTTTAGTGGCATTAAATCAGTGAATCATTACTCGAGGTAACATCTCTGGTGAAAAAAACAAAACAAAACAAATCCTGAAAATGTCTGAGCAGAAAAAGTCAGCCTGGTAACGACCTTAATGGTTTGAGAGAGTCGGTGTGGACACTGCTAGATGGCACCATCTGGGTGTTTTTTTTTTTTGTTTGTGTTTTTTTTGAAGGCATAGTAGGAGAAATGTTTCTCTGAGCTGTGACTCATTTCAGTTTTCTAACAAACGCTGCTTTTATTCATGCGAGCGTAATGCATAAGCCCGGGATTCCACGTCCTCCTGACTGCGGATCCGATGGAAAATGGACAAAGAGCAGCCGAGCCGTTTTAATGGATGCAAAGGCATTTGGAGTCACACAGTCATTAGGCGATGTATTGTTACGGAGAGACACACTGCAGCTCCGGCTGCTGTGAAATGGAACCTGGAGTTCCATTTCTCCAGGAATGGAACTGGAGAAATAGATTGTGGGTAGAAATCTAGCAAACTCCAGGTTCCTCTGGTCCAACACACCTGGAAGAAATGATTCAATGACCTTAACACAGTCAGGTTCTATAAGGAGGGGTGTTCAAAATGCGGCCCGAGGGCCATTTGTGGCACTTGGACTTGTTTTGTTTTTCCTTTTTGTTGCGGCCCCTCGCAGTTTGGAACATCAAGACTGATACAAACTCGACCCGTCCAGCGCAGGTGGTTGACACAGACTTTTCCTAATCAGAGGGAAAATTATCACGGACATGATTTTCCTACAGTGGAAAACGTAAAGTACGACACAAACTCTTTGTCTTTTCACAACTAGGCTTTTATAATATGCTTGTTTTTAAAGTGGTTCTCTGTCTATAGAACACCTTTTACTAAGCTTTGACAGCAGTTTCTTTGCTGTCTTACTTCAAATGTTTCAGATTTTTAACAGGACACTGGAGACGGCGCCATTACCAGCCGCTGAGCGCCGGACAACAGAATCAGCTTCAGTCACGATGAACATGAGCTGGTTAGAAATGCTATGAATCATTTCAATTGAGACGGCTGTGAAACACCATTCAGCCTCCACTTGTTTTTATTATTACTATTATTATTCATCCTCTCAGTCCTCTCAAAAAGGCTGACACGTTTACTTTAGTTGCCAGTGTTGTCCTCTACACACCTGCATAAGTTACGCTGCTTGACAGACATGTCCATGTCCTCTGCGTAGTTCTACTCTTTTTCTTTTACAGTGAGGAAAGAAGCATTTTTAGCTTCTCGAGTTGTCACCTAACAGCCGCACTAATATTTCTTAGCCGTCCCAGCTCGTGGGCGGTGTGATTCTCCCACTCTGACGTCTCTGTAAACCGCGAAGGCGTTCGCTCCAGATAGATGCCATCCTCCCTCACTCAATGAATCGAGACTCGTCTCAGGGCTCCTTGCTCGTCGAAACCAGCAGAGCTAACAGTCTGATTTAACTCCAGCCTGTTTGCGCACGTAACACGTAGCCATTCGACCCACGAGCACCTTTGGGTTCTGGCCCCACACACGCAAAGCCGCTTCGTACATCCCGGCTGGTTAGTAAGCAGCAACCTTGGCAGGCATTTAGCGCCTCTGGATCAAAAGACCCTTACAAACCGTGGGGTCTGGGAGGCTGTGCAGGGTGGTGGGGGGGCGGATGTTTGTGCAGAGAGACGTAGGTGCTTGCAGCGGCGTGACCATCTACTGATCTGAGTGGTGCACAGCGTAGAGATAGCCGTGACCTTTGGACAGCTAAAGGTAGGAAGCGTATTCCTTCTGAGAACTGACGCGTTCCGATGTGGCTGCATTGAAGCTGGTCTCTGACCTGCTGGGAGGTTGGTCGATGTGTCACAGCCAGTCCTGCGCTTTCCCAAAGGAAGGTAAAAAAACAAACCAACAAAGGAGCTGCAAAGATTTCATTCATGGGAAAAGGGGAATTTGAAATGTGTAGGTCTGTTTGTGGACATTGGGATAGGATGGAGCCAGGGTCATTGGGATCGAAAGGTCATTTTCATTAAGGATTTTTGTGTTGGAGAAACATAGTTCAAAAGAGAAAACAGAGTCCAAAATTAGACCTGTCCCTTTTACAAACTTGTTTGGGTGTCATAATGCACTTCATGTGTTTCCTATTCACACAAAATAGGCACATTTTTATATGTATGATTGGCCTGGGTATCGCCATCCTGTGCTATTCTGCTTGATTAAAATCAACACTTTGGGTTTTCTCCCGTTCACTTGGATTCCTCCAATAGAATGTCCGCGCTGTCTGGTGCATCACGCATTACAGACAAACGTTTGGGTCAAATTCAAAATCTCCAGGAAGCAATCGTTTCTCGATGGAGTCCAGATCCTCTGGATGAAGCAGAGCGTTGAACAAGGATGGGGTGGAGTCACATGACTACAGACCGTACACATGGACTGTACACATAGAGCATTGTCTTAAGGGTACGTGAATACAGTCAACCTATGGATTGATATTTGGGTTATGTGTGAAATAATTCGAGCTCATTGTTCCTTGTCGTCTTGTTGCTTCCTTTGATACTTGCCTTAATTGTAAAGTAGGAGAAAACAGTGTAGATGTCTTTACATTTGCAGTTTGCAGTAAAATTGATACATTTTTTAAAAATCATTGTTTTTATAGTTACTGTCGAATCTATAAAAATAAGCAGGTGGTGGCTTCGGGAAATCAAACTGATTGCTTTCACTGTGTTTCTTTTATAGAATCAACTCGACCACCAGGACCACTCTAACTTGCCAAACCATATCAGACTCAGATAAAAAAAAAACCTCACAAATAAATAAATAAATAAAACAAGGGTTTCCAAGTCTTTGAACCCAGGAATAACTTTTATAAAACAAATAAAATGCTGGCACAGAGCTGAAACAGAGCAAAAGCAACAATGTCTTCCGATCTGATCAGTCCCAGTTGGGAATTGTAAACCACTTCAAGGTTCAGCAGAAGTAGTTCTAAGTGGTTAGTTTTTTTTTTTTTTTTTTTTTTTTTTTTTGAAGCAATCACTTGGTGTAATTAATGCACCGCCCTGCTGCTGGAGCTTCACCTGGTTCCCCCAGAGAGCCGCGGTGGCTCCATTACGTTCCTGACCGCCTCGCTCCGTGTGCCTCTCTGCTCCTCCGCCTTTCATCTTCTGCTCAGCCACTTACCTGCATCTCTCTGATTGCAGCACGGGGATTTGAAGGCATCACCATGATTAGTGTCCTGTGTTTGATGCTTTTCCGCTGAGGGAAGCAGGGAATTTAATGCAGATGTATTCAGAACTTTTATGAAACAAAAGGTGTCCAGAAGTCTTGTAGACTTGCATAATGCAAACCGTCTGCATTGTAGAATTCATGTAGGGAGTTAAAATTCATTCAATGTTGTTAATAGATTCTATATGTTATTACAGTATCTTTATTCCAGTTTAGGAAACATTTCGCCATCCACTGGTGGCGAAATGTTCCTAAGTCCAAACCTCCAAC